CACAACTTTAAAAGTTCATTAAGTATTATTTTTTAAATTTTTTTAAATTAAATTATTAGTTTTTTATTACATTATTTATTTAATATTAATTTAGCATAACATTTTCATTTTGGTTAACAACTGCACAAAAAAATTGAAAAAAGAAAAATGTATTATATTTAAAATATTTTAATTTGTTATTGAATACATAATTTATTTATAAACATAAATACTATTTATAAACATTAAACATATTCTTTGATTTATTTAATACTTAAAACTATACATAAGCGTGTGTATATATACTACATAATTTATATATTTAAATACACATTTATATATAAATTATTCAATATATCATACTGTCTATTACTAATATTTATTACTAAACATTTTTTTTTTTTTTATAAAGGATGAAATATCAGTCATATAGTTTGTTTATAATTTATTATTTAATTTAATATTAAAATATCATATCATACCCAGAGTTAAAAAAAAGAGGTTCAATAGTGTAGCTTGAAAGATGGTCTGTGATGACAGAGTGTCCAATAGGAGTGGAGAGGGGGCGGGGCTACATGTGATGGACGGATGCTGTTTGGCTAATGCAGGATGAGCTACTAGCAGCTCGAGGGGTGGGTTTATATCAGTCAGAGAGATAAAGGAATAGACCGAGGGCCTCATGAGTCCCGTGGACGTCTCACACGCCTGCATCTGCTCTGGTTTATCACGCAATAATGAGCTTACACAGAGGGCCGAAACACAGCCCATTTTTCAAAAGGGACAAACATATTGAATGCAAATTGCTGCTTCTTAGAGAATAGATTGTTTATTAATGGGCCGGTTGGTTCATTATACAGCAACGCTGTAGGTGGGGACAGCAAGGCATCATGGGTAATGGGCTTTGTAGGGCACACAGCAGCGAATGGTTGTCATCTTCATCTTATCTAGCCGTGGGGGGCACAGTGACTGCTGACAGAAACTTCAGCACGCACCTGTCAATCATGCTCTGTCAATATTAAAGCATTTCTGTTAGAGACCCCAGATATAAAACTGTACTGTGAGTGTTTATGAAAAATGCATGCCGACTTTTTTGTAAAACAGGGATAAAGCTTAATTCAGTAGATATAGCTGCAGGGGACACCGGGGCTAGTTGTCACAATAAAACCACACTGACATAACATTAAGAGTCACTATATAATGAAACTTTTTTTATATTTTACCTAATTGCATTGATTAAAATCTATTACAAATCTATTTACATTTAGTATGTTACTTTGTGTTATATTTCAACAAATTAAATTGACTCTAAATAGTATTATTTATGCACTATTTGAGTTTTATTAATATTTTTAATTAGGATTTTATATGTTCAGTTTTGATTTCAATTGTTATTTTTTTATTTTTTTATCATTTTTTTTAAATATTACTATTTAGGTTCGATTTAGTTTTAATTTATAATAACCAAGGTTCAGTTTTATTATCTTTTTGTAATTTCTAATTAGTAATTTTAGTGGTTTGTTTAGTTTTAAGTTTTTCATCTAACATTTATTTTTTTATTTATATTTTATTTAGTTTAAGTTTTCCACCTAATATTTATATTTCTGTTTTATTTTTAAATTTTTTCTATTTCACCTTAAATGAACAAAAACATTTTTAGTTATTTATTGATTGATTTATTATTTTTACTCATTAAGAGTCACTATATAATTAAACTGCATTTAAAATTTAAAATTTTAGTTGAATTTTTAGTCATTTTGTTTTCTGCTTTTAAACATTACTAGGTTCAATTTATTAATTAGTATTTTTAGTGCTTTATTTAGTTTACATTTTTCGCCTAATATTTATATATCCGTTTTATTTTTATTTTCATTTATATTTTAATTCCATTTCAGTTTTATTTTCATCAACAATAACATTTATTTATTTATTTATCTTAGGTTTCAGATAAACATTTAGGGCATTTTAATGTTTAACATTCCAGCAAGTAGTGCTCCAAAATATCAGAACATATAGGTTTTGGACATTACTAATATTATTTTTACACATACAGCACTGAAGTAAACATCATGGGTTTGTACTTTATTCTGTCTTTCGTCTGAACAAACAGTGGATCAGCGTGAAGTCCTCAGCTGACCTCTCTCTACGACCAGCGCTCTGATTATGTGCACTGCCGTGTCTGTTTTGTTCTTTGACTTTATAGTCTTTAATCTGAGTCGAGGAAGATCAAACCGGCGTCTCTAAGCCAATAAAGAGTTCAGAAGAGGACGAGAAAGATCGTGGCTACACAAACAGAGAGGAGAAGAAAGCAAGCGTCATTCATACCTTTGATCCTCTTTCATTAAAGATAATCTCCACGTCTAAGATCTTCCCAAATTGCTGCAGAAAAGGAGAGCGGGAGAAATAGAGAGCGAGGGAGAGAAAAAGCAAGATGAAGACGGGAATAAGAGAGAGATAAATCGATTAGGAGCCTCTGTGTCCATGAGAAAGTGGGGCTCGAAACCTGGGATGAAATAATAACATCATGCATCCGGCAAACTGGAAATTACATAACACACAGGACATGCTAGATGTTTCCCACTGCAGGCTTCATAAAACAACTTTTCCTGAGTTTAGATTGTGAAAAACTTTTGCAATTCTGTTGCTATAATCACATTCCACCGCATTATTAAGTGTCTGCAGACACTGAGGTCTCTGGCGTGAGGTTTGTAATGTGAAGTCTGCGGTGTGAGGTTTCTAATAAGATGTTTATGGAGTGAGGCCTCTGGCGTGAGGTCTGTCAGGTGAGGTTTTCATTAGAAGTCTGTGGCGTGAGGTTTCTAACATGATATTTTTTGAAGTGAGGGCTCTGGCGTGAGGTCTGTCAGGTGAGGTTTTCATTAGAAGTCTGTGGCGTGAGGTTTCTAACATGATATTTTTTGAAGTGAGGGCTCTGGCGTGAGGTCTGTCAGGTGAGGTTTTCATTAGAAGTCTGTGGCGTGAGGTTTCTAACATGATATTTTTTGAAGTGAGGGCTCTGGCGTGAGGTCTGTCAGGTGAGGTTTTCATTAGAAGTCTGTGGCGTGAGGTTTCTAACATGATATTTTTGAAGTGAGGTTTCTGGCGTGAGGTCTCTAAGCAGAGGTTTTCTTTAGAAGTCTGTCATGTGAGGTTTCTAATGTGACATATATGAAGTCTCTGACATGAGTTTATATTGTAAAGTCTGTGGTGTGAGGTTTCTAATGTGATTATTTTGCAGTGAGGTTTCAATTGTAATGTATATGGAGTCTCTGGCATGAGGTCTCACATGTGAGGTTTTCCATTAGAAAGCTGTGGTGTGAGGTCAAAAGGCGCTTTCGCACCACGTTGTTCTAGGATGCGTTTCATATGCGTTTGGCCAATCATTGTACACTTACGTCACTGGTTCTTATAGAACTGTTTTAGAACCTACTCTGAAGTAGGAGCTAACTTAGTTCCCGCAAATGGAGTTTCTAGGACTAAAAACTAAAACCGCCAAAAAGCGGGAACTTCCGCCAATAATTCTATGGAAAGGTTCTTCCGTGGTGAGATATGTTTTTTAGAGTGAAGTCTCTCACGTGAGGTCTATCATGTCAGCTTTTTTCATTAGAAGTCTCTGGTGTGAGCTTTCTAATAATTTCATTATATTTCTAATGTGATGTCTATAGAGTCTCTGGCATGAGGTCTATCACGTGAAGTTTTTTTTCCAGCAGAAGTCTCTGGGGTGAGGTTTGCAATGTGAAGCCTGTGGTGTGTAATATGATTTTTTTGCAGTGAGGTCTCTGGCGTGAGGTCTTCAGTGGAAGTCTGTGGTGTGAGTTTTTTAATGTTTTTGCAGTGAGGTCTCTGCCGTGAGGTTTTATATCTGTCGGTGGTGTGAGGTTTCTAATGAGTTGGTTTTTCTAGTGATGTTTCTGGTGTGAGGTCTCTCAGGTGAGTTTTTTTTTTCCTATCAAAGTCTGTGGTGTGAGGTTTCTAATGTGATGTATATGGAGTCTCTGTTGTGAGGTCTACCAGATGAGTCTTATTTTTTCAGTAGAAGTCTGTCGTGTGATATTTCTAATGTAATGTATCTGGAGTCTCTTGCATGAGGTCTATCGTGAGGTTTCTCATGTGAATTCCGTGGTGTGAGGTTTCTGATATGATGTTTTTGCAGTGAGGTCTCTCAGGTGAGGTTTTTCAGTTTTTCATTAGAAGTCTGTGGTGTGAGGTTTCTAATATGTTGTATCTGGAGTCTCTGGCATGAAGTTTCTAATGTGATGTTTTTGCATTGAGGCCTCTGGCGTGAGGTTTTTAATAATACTTGTCTGTGGTTTGAGGTTTCTAATGTGATGTTTTTGGAGTAAAGTCTTTGCTGTGAGGTCTCTCAGGTGAGGTTTTGTTAGAATCTGTGATGTGAATTTTCTAATGTGATGTATCTGAAGTCTCTGGAGTGATGTCTCTGGCATGAGATTTATATGAAGTCTGCAGCGTGAGCTTTCTGATGTGATGTTTTTGCAGTGAGCCCTCCGGTGTGAAGTTTTTCATTAGAAGTCTGTGATGTGAATTTTTTAAGGTATCTGCTAGGGCTGTCAAAATGGCTGAAAAACAAAATTCGGATGTTTTTGCAGTGAGGTCTCTCAGGTGAGGTTTTTCAGTTTTTCATTAGAAGTCTGTGGTGTGAGGTTTCTAATATGTTGTATCTGGAGTCTCTGGCATGAAGTTTCTAATGTGATGTTTTTGCATTGAGGCCTCTGGCGTGAGGTTTTTAATAATACTTGTCTGTGGTTTGAGGTTTCTAATGTGATGTTTTTGGAGTAAAGTCTTTGCTGTGAGGTCTCTCAGGTGAGGTTTTGTTAGAATCTGTGATGTGAATTTTCTAATGTGATGTATCTGAAGTCTCTGGAGTGATGTCTCTGGCATGAGATTTATATGAAGTCTGCATCGTGAGCTTTCTGATGTGATGTTTTTGCAGTGAGCCCTCCGGTGTGAGGTTTTTCATTAGAAGTCTGTGATGTGAATTTTTTAGACTGAAAACCAATCACAAAGAGTACTTTCTTCATTTAAAAACTTGAGTTGCAGTAGGATGGGGAAAAACCGCCATAAAGTTGTAACGCATGTTTTTAAAAAGTTGAACTTATATAAATTTTCCATGGCTTTCTAAACATGCGGCTCTCTTGCGAGTGCAACAGTGATAGATGTCCCTCTAGAAAATGTGATAAATATGCGTTCTGTGTGAACGGTTTGGTTTCGGTTTGGACGTAAATAACATCATCTCCGCATTGATGTTCGTTTTTTGCCCGCAGTATTTTGAATGAACAACGTAGCAGCGCCGCATCTAGTGGGTTCAACTGGATAGACTAACAAAAACATTAAAATGCAATGACACTTACATCGTCGTCGCATTTCGTGCGCCACTGATAAGGCTGCCTGACGCACACCTAAAATTCGAATGCAACGTTTTTGCATTCGAATGTGGATTCTTATTTTAAATTCGACGAATATTCGAAATTCAAATTTTTTTTGACAAAACAGGCAATTTAATTATGTACACATTTTATTTTTATTATTATAAAGATAAACTAAACTATGTGTGTACAGTCTGTTTTTTTTCTGTCTTTCACTGATGACAAGCTCCTTTTTCCTCTCTCTTCCTCTCTCTCCCCCTCTCTCTCTCTCTCTCTCTCTCTCTTGTTTTTGTTGTGTGGCATCGCTCCCAAGGAGGGAAACGTTCACCAATCTTCGATTTAGCTTCCGTGCTGTTTGGATCGTTAGAAAGCGGAGGGATGAGGGACGAGCGCAAACCCCTCTAATGAGCGCAGAGAGAGGGTGGCTTTTAATTGATGCCTGCGATGGTCGTATTATTTCACTAAAAGTAATTACCCTGTCGAGCATGCTGCATTGCCATCATTTGGCCACTGCGGTAGAAAATAAAACCTCTGCGAGTGCCGTGCCGGATGGAGAGAGATGAACGTAAATAACATCATCTCCGCATTGATGTTCGTTTTTTGCCCGCAGTATTTTGAATGAACAACGTAGCAGCGCCGCATCTAGTGGGTTCAACTGGATAGACTAACAAAAACATTAAAATGCAATGACACTTACATCGTCCTCGCATTTCATGCTCCACTGATAAGGCTGCCTGACGCACACCTAAAATTCGAATGCAACGTTTTTGCATTCGAATGTGGATTCTTATTTTAAATTCGACGACTATTCGAAATTCAAATTTTTTTTTGACAGCCCTAGTATCTGCAGTAGCTGATGTGAGTTCTCTGGCGTGAGCTCTCATCAGAGGCCTGAGAGTGTCCCTAAGAGAGGTAAAAAATGGGTAAAACAGGCAATTTAATTATGTACACATTTTATTTTTATTATTATAAAGATAAACTAAACTATGTGTGTACAGTCTGTTTTTTTTCTGTCTTTCACTGATGACAAGCTCCTTTTTCCTCTCTCTTCCTCTCTCTCCCCCTCTCTCTCTCTCTCTCTCTCTCTTGTTTTTGTTGTGTGGCATCGCTCCCAAGGAGGGAAACGTTCACCAATCTTCGATTTAGCTTCCGTGCTGTTTGGATCGTTAGAAAGCGGAGGGATGAGGGACGAGCGCAAACCCCTCTAATGAGCGCAGAGAGAGGGTGGCTTTTAATTGATGCCTGCGATGGTCGTATTATTTCACTAAAAGTAATTACCCTGTCGAGCATGCTGCATCGCCATCATTTGGCCACTGCGGTAGAAAATAAAACCTCTGCGAGTGCAGTGCCGGATGGAGAGAGATGACACTGGAAGTGCTAATAGGATCAAGAGTGGTGCAGTTGTCTACAGACACCGACTACAAAAAAGGATGAATAGACTGGGTTATGGGGTCAACGCTAATCAGACTATATGCTAATGTTAATTAGCTGTTTGTGTGAGAGAGGAGAGGTCAGGAAAGAGTCGCTAGACATGAGAAGCAAAGATTCGGGAAGCCTTCATCTTCATTAACAGCACTGCAATTAGGAAAGAAAAAACACACGAGATCTCTTTAAAATCTTGGTTGTTTCTCAGACAGCGGTTAGATGAAATGAAGAGTGAATGCAGACTTTTGGTTAAGATTCCTGCTTCTTGAATGTTTCTTCTGAAAAAAAAAAAATTCACCAGTAATCTCACATTTCTCCTCTAGAGCTTCAAACGAGATCTCAATAATGTCTCAAACTGTGCTCAGATTAGCCAAGTGTGCAATCAAAGTCAGAGGTCTCAATATGAACTCAAATTGTGTCAACATCAACTAATCTGGCTGCGATCTGTATTTTAGGAGAATCATCTGAGATGATACTGAGACATAACAGTAATCTCCTTTTAAGTCTCCTGAGCAATAACACTTTCTGGTGATCTTTCGGCATAAAATCCAGAAACGCTCAAACTGGAAA